GGCTCAGTGGGTTGGGCATCGTCCTGCAAAGTGGAAGGTCTCTGGTTTGATTCCCAATCAGGGTACGTGCCTGGGTTGCGTACGGGCCGGGTCCCGGGTTCAGGGCGTGTGAGAAGCAACCTGATCAGTGTTTGTCTTGCGCATTGATGTTTCTCCCTCTCTTTTCTCTCCCTTCCGCTCTGTCTGAAAGTAAATAAATCTTAAAGGATTTGAGGAAAGGGTGAAATTTTAGATGTAATCGAGGAAAGCAGTGTTTTGATAGGTTCAAAGTGAAACAGGGCTATGTGTAATGGATTCCATCCAATTTTGACTGCTAATGGACCAAAGGGTCTGTTTCCTTCAATACTATAGTTAATACAGGTACGGAACGTTATATCCAGAACTTATGTTGAGACTGGAAACCCAGGCAGCCTCTCTGTGTCAGAGTGACTTAAAAACCTCTTGGCAAAAGTAAGGTGTTTCCTTTGCACTGACACAATTTCAGACGAGGTTTCTGACACCTCCTGTTGCATTTTCCCCAAGGAATAGCACAATTCAGGGGGGTTCGCACAGATGTGGGGGCTGGTGGTGGTGGCCTTGAGAGGAAGGCTGGGGGTAAAAAGTACTGAGTACTCAGTCAGAAGGCAGAGAAGTGTCTGGGAGGTTTCTCCGTCCCTTCTCCCCCACCAGTAACGTGCCTTCAGGAGAGGCCCCTGAGGAAAGTTTTAAAGAGAGACCTCCCAGTAAGGATCCGGTCTGGAAATGCAGGTGTGCTTAAGACGATGGCCTGCTTCCCAGGGGAGTCCTTGACTAAAGCTCCCTCAGAGGGTGCAGCGGGCAGCCGGTCTGGTGGGGACGGCTTTTCAAAGCCCCGTGAGTCCTGCCAGATAAGCCTTTGTAACTGGCTGCAGTTGGGCCCGAAAAATCACACGTAGACAAAAATACACACACACAAACATACTCAACAATCTCAACACAAAAACAAAGAAAGGCTGTGAACAAAGGGCCCACAAAAAGAGTTGAATGATTCCTAAATTCTTAAACACATGGAATGATGTTCAGTCTCACTCATAATAACAGAAATGCAAATTAAACCTGCACCGAGTTAACAATTTTTCACTGAACACACTGGGATAGTAAAGGAAGGGAGAAACACACACTTTCTTATATAGCAGGAAGGTGTATACTTCAACACTGCCTCTGTTACAGAACAAAGGGGCCAAGGGTGCTACAATACTACCAAAAGGACCCCCTACTGGGCTCAATTGTCTGCCGCCAGATAGGAAAGACTCTCTCAATGCCAGAGATTTATGAAAAGGAAAGGAAATGTTTATTTAAAGCTATACAGACTTAAAGTAGGGACCTAATGTCTTCATTAAAATATCAAAGTCCTTTAGGATACCCACAGACAGACACCCACAGCACTTCCTTATCCCCCTGCTCTAATTCAGGGCACAGTAACTCAGGAAAAGAAGCAAACATCCATGTCCAGGCCGCTGGCACCATTGGCTGTGTCGCCATCCAGGCAGGATCTCTAATTAATGCAAAGCCATGTGGCACCTTCTCATGGCCTACTGGCAAGAGTTCTTTCACCCTTCTTCCCAGCAAAGTCTTTCCTGCTTCCCAGGGCATGCAGCCAAAGGGAGCACCCTAAAAGCATGGTCCTCTTCTACCAAAGCTGCAGGGGTCCCCACTCTGACAAAACCGCGTGGATCTCTTTTCCTGGCAAAGCCAAGAGGAGGTCCTCAATCTGGTAAAGCCATGTGGATCTCTCCTAAAAGCTTCAGGAAGGCGGGAGTCGCCACTCTGCCAAAGCCAAGTGGCCATTATCTGCTAAGGCCACATGGTGGCTCCCCCTACTACAGCTGTGGGGGGACCCCACTCTGGCTTTCTCTCCTCAATGGCTGCCGAGTCTGGGTTTTAAACCCCATGCCAATCCTATTCTGCAGCCCCATTTCTGACTCCTCCTACAATCAGTTACACCTGCCAGCATTCCTGTATTATTCCAAGTTTACTGGGCTGCCATTGTGAGTCTGGGCAGGGGTGGCCCCATGTCCTGGAGCCATTCTTCCCAAGCTCCCACGCAGGCAGGCGCTGTAACTCAGGGGACCTGCCCCCCAGTTACATCTTGTGGGGAGTCCCTTTCCATCTCCCTGGCTCAGAGCATGGCCATCACTATTTTACATATCTATGCAACCAGTTAAAGGTTATAGATATGTTAAATGACCCTGTCATGGATTAGCTGCAAAGCTGTGACTGTACAAAACAGCCCTGCATGTTCCTGCTCCATGTGTCCCTTCCCCCAACTCACACCTGAGGGGGAAGGGGTGAGGACATCTTATATGTCTTTCTAATACTTCCTAGACACCTTGAGTTCTGGACCCCATTCCAAATCTCTATTTGGGGCCCCCTCTTGGCTGTACCCTGTATCACCTCTACAGAGAGCAATTTGAAAACTCCTATCAAGATTACAGATTCAGAGATCTTTGGCCAGCAAATATATTCTAAGAATTTACCCTGTAGATAGGCTCACACATATGGCAAATAATATGTATACAAGAGTTTTTTTATCCATTGCTGTTTATTCCTTTTTAAATATATTTTATTGTTATGCTATTACAGTTGTCCCATTTTCCTCCTTTTTTTCCCTCCACCCTGCACACCCACTCCCACCCTCATTCCCCTGACTTTAGTTCATATTTATGGGTCGTACATATAAGTTCTTTGCTATTTATTTCTTTATAATAGCAAAGGATTGGAAGCCACCAACAGCAAGGGTTTCCATACCCAGAAACCTTACACAGTCATTCAGAACATGTATCACTAGGGTTTCAAAGCAAACACAGAACAGTGCATGTACTACCCACATTTTGCACGATCGTGCAGAGAAAACAACATGTATATTTTTTTGTCTTTAATAAAAGGGAACATAAAAAACCAATAGTATTGGTTTTCAGGGAGAAAACTGGGTAGCCAGTAACCCACATATGAAAAGAGACTTTTCATTGTATATTGTTGTAGACCTTTTGAATTTTGAACCATTTTGAATGAATATCAAATTTAAAAAAGAAAGAAAGAAAATGAGCAAACAAACCAGCTGTAAAAACCTGGGCTCTGGTGTCCGAGTGCTCGGGTTACTGAACCCAAGCCATTCACCATCGTGTGCTAGTCGTGTGACCTTAAGCAAATTTACCTCACCTTGGGGTCCTTTTCCTCACCTACGAAATGGGCAGGATGCTATCACCAACTTCAGAATCACTGAGAGAAGCAAAGGGATGATGCAGGTCATATACTGAGATCAGGAGCTGAGGCCCTGGAGCCAGACTGCCAGGGTTCAAGTTCTGTCTCCACCTCCGTCAAGTTGCATGACCTTGGACATGTTATGGATCCTCATTTTCCTCCATTATTTCACTTGGAAATGGGGAAAATAATCAAATTGTGTGGAGATGAAATTAGTTAATAATTGTAAACTGCTTAAAACTGTATTTGGAACATATTAGGTGCTACGTCAATGTTTGTTGAATATCGGGTATTTATTGGTTTAATATACATATTAGTTATTATGGTTAGCTATTAACTAACATTGCTGAAATAAACCACACTTAGTCAAGTTACCTTTCCAACATGACCTTACCTACCCATAACCATGCTCCTCCCCTATTTATAATTCTACGAATACACTGCACCTGTTTTTGCTCATATTGTTCCCATAGTCTGGAATGCCAGTTCCAACCATGACTGACTGAGGAATGTAATTGTCCTCAAGATCCAATTCAAAGATTTCTTTCTCCCTGAGCAGCGCTGCTCTCTCCTATGAACTGCCCCATCACTGGTCTCTATTCTGTCTGTGTCCCCTGCTGCCCAAGACCAGCACACAAGGTGGGCAACAACTCATGCTTGTCTGGCTAAATGGGTCAATGGAATACTGAGGTTTTGTGCCTTCAGAGGAACTCAGAAAAATAGAAGTTTTCTGTTGTAACATGTTTAACTTCACTTTTACGCCCTAAGGTGTCAGATAGAGAGGAAATAAAGAATTGTTCAGGGACACTAAAGAAAGGTGGGGTTAGAATGCATTAGAAATTAGAGGGCTTTTTAAAAGTGTGTTTTTTCTTTTATTTTTGGTGCCTTTAGTCGACACGGATCTTGCTCCCCCTCCTGGAGATAAAGTAAAATGCTGCTTCAAAAATCCATTGAAGTAAAAAAAGAGGAAACAAAACGTGTAGCCTGATAATTAAAATAGAGCTTCTTATTACAGATGGCATAGTTGTAGCTATGACATGCCAGAATTCCTGTAATGACTGGCTACATAACAATTATAGTTACCTCACGTCTATGGAGGGAGAGGTATGGCTTTGAAATCTAAGTCCAGGACAACAAGCCAGAAAGTTCTGAGTATAAATTCAGCTTTGATGACCACTGCAAAAAGTGGTGGCTCTGGCAAACAAGTTTATCTTCCATGTCATTATTAATTTTTGTTTTATCTCTGTGTTAAGGGCATAAGAATACTACTTAGCTTCTCATTACCACTAAAATCCAGGCACTCCTGGCTATATCGTCAATGTTTGTCTAATCGTTAACCAAATAATGAAAAAACTTACAATGTTATTGAGGAAATCCATCCTAAAACATGAAGAAAGAGGAACCAAAGCCTTTAAATGTGATGAGTGATTGTGGTCAGATAGGAATAAATTCAGAAGTTCAGAAAAGGGAACTGTCCTTAGGGTACGAAAGGGATTTTTTGCAGTTCCTGGGCTGGCCAATTTAGTCATTCATCTTGAGGCCTAGATGAAGCACAGTACTTTCCCTTATGAGTTCATCCTCTAAGGAAGAAGACAGGTAAATAGCAAGTTAATAAAGTGAAGACAGAAGGTGATGCTATGAAGGAAAAAAGCGGGGCTCTAATGAGGGAGAATGATGAGGTGGGCTGTGTTGGAGACACACAGCAGCTTTAGAGACAATGAGGGGTCGGGAAGCCTCTTCGAGGAGCCTTGAAGAAGGAGCTCCTCAGGAAGAACATTCCAGTACTTAACCTGGAAGGGGAGATACCATGATTGCAGAAGGTGGTTTTCCCAGGGTGAGGCTTATCCATTGTGCTCCGGATGTGCTGACCACTGCGATGTCCCCAAATGTGGGAAACTCCCCTGCATAATTTGTGGTAGCGAGGAACTGTGCTCTGCTCTCCCCTGGCAAAAAAAAAAAGCATTCCAGGCAGAGAGAAGAGCTTAAGAAAAAGCAAGGGTGGAGAGGGGTTGCAGCATGAGTTGGACAAATGTTACAAGCAGTGGAGTATGAGGAAAGAAATAAACATAAATTCCAGTGCAAAACTTGCTTTTATGAAACATATGCAATAATAGTACTTAAGTAGACACCTAGCTCAAAATCTTTGGTTTGTTTTTCCAAATAGTTGAGCATTGCTTTAAATGTCTGTATGCAAATACATTCTCAAACATGTAAAGTTTCTAAGTTCTCAAAAGGATTCCAAGCCACTGACAGAAATATAAAATAACAAGAAATAAATGAGCCATGGCTGGTGTGGCTCAGTGGATTGAGTGCCTGCCTGCAAATCAAAAGGTTGCCAATTCAATTCCCAGTCAGGGCTCATGCCTGAGTTATGGACCAGGTCCCCAGTTGAAGGTTGCAAGAGGCAACTGATTGATGTATCTCACACAGTGATGTTTGAGATACATCAATGAATATCTTGATGTATCTCATCCTTCTCCCTCCCTTTCCCTCTCTGTAAAACTAAATAATAAATAAATAAATTAAGTAATTGCAGTGGAGGTCAGAAGTAAAAGCAAACATGAGAAAAAAATAACTATATCTGGGCTGCAACAGGGAAATATCAACAATTATGAAATTCAGTGTCCTTATGGTAAAAATGAAGTAGTTTTTAAGAAAAAAATGTAGCTTCCTGGTATTAAGATCTGAGAAAAATGTTCCTTTATTTTTGTTCCATTATACTCTATGATGTAATGGTCAAAGTCCTCAACAATATATCTCTGCAGTAGTTACAAAAGCAAGATTCCTAGGGCCATCTCCTAAACTAACTTCAATGCATGAAGCCAACATGCAGCTCAGTAACAGCACCTCTGCAAGGGTCTGGAGGCAGTCCAGCTATGGAGCTTATTCTAGTAGCTGTAAAAACACTTAGAGTGTCTAGAGAAATGGATACATCACGTATCCTTCAAGTAATCCTCAATGAATATTTTTTCTTTCACCTGAGCTTTTAAAAATATATATATTTATTTATTTTTAGAGAGGGGAAGGGAAATCGAAAGAGTGAGAGAAACATCAATGTGTGGTTGCCTCTCGAGTGCCCTCTATTGGGGGCCTGGCCCACAACCCAGGCATGTGCCCTGACTGGAAATCGAACCAGCAACCCTTTGGTTCACAGGCCGGCACTCCATTCAGGCACACCAGCCAGGGCTCACCTGAGCTTTTAATAAATAATTAAAAGTAGAGAGTTTGAAGTTATTTCTCTGGCAAGAAACTAGAATGTAAATTATCTTTGCTGTTAATTATTAATTGTTTTGGCAATCAATGGAGCTAAAGGTAGGACTGACATTGAGAGAAGAAAAGAGTTTAACAGTGTGATAACTTAAAAGGAAGACCATCCTATTGCCACTTAGAAGTGTGCCTAAGACTTTCCTCAAAAAATAGACCTGGAAGCATGGACAGATAATTACTTAGGCCCCACATACTTCCACATGCATGTGGTCAAGATCATTCTAACCTTTTTTTTTTAGTTAAGAGAATGCCTTAATTAATGAATTAGTCTTAAAATTTCCAAATAACTGCGTAGTGTATGTGCTATATAAATCTTTTGTCAATAAATCAATTAAATGTTGGAGGACAGCTATCAAAAACAATATCTGAATATAACAAGAGCTAATATTGAGCCATACTTTCTGATAATAATTATACCGAAAAAATCCAGAGCCTGCTGAGTGGTAATAACACTATGCCATAAGCACAGAAGCGAATAATTATCTTCCCCTTCTTAAAAAAAATGTCATGCACTAAGCTTATCTAAGAGTGGTTTTAGGCCATTAATGAGCACATTTTGGGGTGGGGGAGTGGAAGGGTGGGAGGCTTTATCCAACAGTCATCTGATCTGTTGGCATGACAGATTGGCTGCTAGTTACCAAATCAGTTTCCTTTCCCTCTGGGCCCACAGTTCAACTACATTTCCCAGCTTCCCTTGCAGTGAGGTGTGGGGAGGTGAATTCTGGCCAGTGGAATTGTAGGCATTTCACCTTCAGGCTGGTATAAGAAACCACAGAGTGACCTTGGATGCAATGTACTGAACATGGTAGACCTTTCCATCAGTCTTGGTTTCTAAACACTCAACTTCTTACGGGAGCTTATGCAAGAGAGAAGTACTTTCTATTGTGTTAAGCCACTGAGATTTCAAAGTTTATTGTTACAACAGCTAGTATATGGTCAATACAGCATTTAAGTCATCAAGAATATACTGTACCTCAATTTCAACTATAAAATGGAGATATAATAGCACTTACATTCTTATATTCTTATATAAGAATAAACTTATAGGCCTTATAAGTTTATTCTACAAATTGAACATGTTAATGCATGTAAAGAGCTTCAAAGAGTGCCTGGCACAAAGCAAGCATTCACTCATGTTAGCTATCACTGTTACTATTACAAACCTTCCTAACAGCGTTAAGATGCCGTTCCCATCTACAAGTAACTTCAATTTCCTCTGACTATTTGGATTCTAGTAACAAATGATGTCACATTTATGTTACCACCTGCACTGTGCTGATCTGCGCAACATCACTGTAGGGCTTCGGAACATTTCTGGGCCTCCTGTGTTGTCCCACAGATGCTCTGAAATTGCTCTTCTCTGATCTCCCTGTCGTTATCTGTTAGCCACTTGGGAAATCACTGGAGACAGGCGGTGCACAATGAGGAAGGCTTGCCTCCAAGTTTGCTGCTCCGGCCCGAGGGGGCGCTCCTCACTTGTTTCAGAGCTGTAAACCCCCAAGATGCCAAAATAGACTCCTACACATTTGTATGTATTTTTCTGAATTTGCTTTAATTTTTTAAACTTGCATAATATGTCACTGCATTTTAGTAAATGTTAGAAACACATTTAAGGGATTATTCTTAGATATCACAGAACAAGTTTTAATTCATTTAATTTCCCACTGTCAATCAATGGGTATATGGGAAGGGCTGAGCAGTCCCTTCCATTGGATCCAGGAATTCCTGGTCAGTCACCGGGGCCTCTCCTTTCCCCACATCTTGTCTGTACACTGGGCCCCCACAGTACGCCCAGAAACTGCTCCTAAATTGGACTGAAAGGAATTCTGAACCTGAGGTCTGTAGACCTCCCCCTCTCCAAGGAACCCCAAGAAATCCAGGAATAGAACTCAGGAAGCCTATGAACTTGAATGGGGAAAAAAAGTTTACCTCTTTGTTTTTACTAACCTCTATCAGCAATTTAACAATTTCTTCCATTTTTGATGTAGGCAACAGTCCATAGCAATATTAGCAGTATCTGTAACTTTGTCACCCATTGACGTCCCAATAGCTACTTCTACATCATATTATAGCAATTACAAGTATCTTGAAGTATCATTTATGCTCATACTACTATGAAATTATGGTATTCACTAAATATAACATTATATCTTTAATATATTAATAAAGAAGCATGCATGATACTATAGCAAATGCTGATTTAATATTTTGAGAACTGTATTTCATTGAAATTAACTTCCAATTGTATTTTAGCTTTGTATGTAAAAAAATGTTTTGAAAAAGTAGTCTATAGACTTCACCTGGCTGCCGAAAGGATCCATGGTGCAAAAAAGAAAAACCTGTAGGTTATCGGGGTTGACACATAACTCCGCACCGCTTGTATCTTTCCTTTCTCACCCTCCTCAAAGATGACTACAGCGGTGACAAGCATTCAGACTCATTGAAATGCCACCCCCCAGGTCAGCAGGGTAGACGATTAAGATGAGAACTAAGGGGGGAGGGGGGGGGGGGGGGCGGGGGGAGAAAAAAAGTACTTGAAAAAAACTAAAAAAAAGAGAAAAAAAAAAGAGCTTGGGTGCTAGAGTCAGCTTACCTTGCTCTGTCACTTATTAGCTGTGTGGCCCAGGTGAGTTACTTAACCTCCCTGTGTTTCTTGGCTGTAAAATGGGATTACAGTTGTTCCTTCTTCATAGGGCTGTTGTGCAGCAGGAATGAGTGAATCCATTAAATCTCTCAGAGTCTGTCACGTAGTGAACTCTGAGAAAATGTTGGCTGCTTTTTCAAGTGCTTGTCACAGCTGTTCTGTTGTGGTGTCTACAGGGAGGGGAGAGGAGAAGAGAAAAAGAGTAGGTTGGCCTTTTCTCTTGAGTCATATCTATGGTGCACAACATTGCTACCCTTTTTAAAAGCACATTGAAAAAACACTTGATGGTTCTTCCTTGAAAAGTCTCCAACTCAATTGTATGTTTTATGTAGTAACAATATCTCTGTGGCAGTAAAAAAGGCTCCCCGGTCTTGGTTTACAAAGCAGGGCTTCTGTTTAAATAACTTTCGTGCTCATTTCTGAGGCCTACAAGAGGTGAATGTTGGCTATGTCATTGTAACTGAGGGGGAGAGGATAGTAAATGTGAATGGGAGTACGTTTATTCATTCATTCAACAATTATTAAGTTCCTGCTCTGTGACAGGCACTGCTGTAAACGCAGAGGAATTCGTGGTGAACAGAACAAAGTCTCTGCTGTCATTGAGCTTACGTTCTAGTGTTGAAGACAAACTATAAACTAAAATAAAAATTTAAAAGCATCAGGAGTAACTGATACTTCAGAGATTATTAAAATAAAGTGAGGTTATATACAAAAGGACCAGAGACTATTTTAAATTTGGGTGGTTCTCTCTAAGGAGGTGACATTTAAGCATTTAAGAGATCTGAATGACAAAAAGGAACCACTTTTTTTCTTTCTTTTTTAAGATTTTATTTATTTAGTTTTTAGAGGGAAGGGGAAGGAGAGAAAAAGAGAGGGAGAGAAATATTGATGAGAGAAAGAAATATCCATCAGTTGCCTCTCTCTCGTGCCCCCAGCTGGAGGCCTGGCCTGCAACCCAGACATGTGCCTCAACTGGCAATCAAACTGGTGACCTTTCAGTTTGCCGGCCAGGCACTCAACCCACTGAGACACATCAG